CAAAAAAACTATCGTGAAAAAAAAAACAATTAACCAGTGTGGTGTATTATATTGTTGGCAGAGGTAATGGAAGACAGACTATAGCGGAAGGTCATGAACATTATGGCTTGGTTGGAAGGTAGAGGCACAAGTGAAGACTTGAGTTGACGAAGATGAAAACATCGAGGATTGTCTACGTGAAACTAAACATCTCGAAGAAGTTTTACATTGGTGGAGCGACAACCAGTGGGTATTCCAGGAATTGTTATGCATATACGAAACGCTCTATCTTACGTTCGGGAAAGAGACTCGAAACCAAATGAATCAGACTAAAGTATCAGACGTTTTTAATTTAGTAAATAAGTGAACACGAGTATGGTTTGTTTCTGAAATATTGGGAAAAGTTTGTATTGATATTTTCTTATATTATTTTATCTTATGTATGCTATTTTTATATCAATTTCCCCTATGTAAATATACAGCTATTTTATTTAATTAATTGCTTTAGTAGTCTGTTGAATCTGTCTGTTCTAGTTCAGCATGAGTGCCTTCTTGACCAGTTGGTTATAACGCTCAACACCTACATCACTCTCGAGTGCACATGGCTAACGATGGTAGCGTTATAATGATATAGTACTGTACTTTTACTGTCTGCTTCTGGGATAAAAAAAAAGCTTTATCATATTGTTTTTTGATATTTTTAGAGGAAGATGTTTATAGTTCAATATTTTCTCAAATGACTATCATTGGACTTGCTTGTCACTTTCTTAGCCTTGACGGTTTTTTTTTCACCAGTCGTTATTTCATATTTCATAAAATCTTACAAACTGTGTACAGCATTTTGTATTTTCCACCTGAATGGTTCCTTATCCGTCATATGGGTAAACGGCCAGGTCAGAGACCCTCAAGGCTCATTTAGAACCGCAGCACCCACTACCTACACGACTGTTCGCGGCCGACTTGTGGGATTGATTATCATTTTTATAACGCACCTACAGGTGAAAATGCGGAATGTGCAGTGCTGGAAACTTTCTGATAACCATTAGGCCAATCCTGACTCCATGCACACGAATTGTGCTAGTCCCATAGTTCAGAAATGACAACCATTAGGCAAATCCTGACTCCATGGACACGAATTGTGCTAGTCCCATAGTTCAGGAATGATAACCATTAGGCCAAGCCTGACTCCATGCACACGAACTGTGCTAGTCCCATAGTTCAGGAATGACAACCATTAGGCCAATCCTGACTCCATGGACACGAATTGTGCTAGTCCCATAGTTCAGGAATGATAACCATTAGGCCAATCCTGACTCCATGGACACGAATTGTGCTAGTTTCATAGTTCAGGAATAACAACCATTAGGCCAATCCTGACTCCATGCACACGAATTGTGCTAGTTTCATAGTTCAGGAATAACAACCATTAGGCCAACCTTGACTCCATGCACACGAATTGTGCTAGTTTC